CGTCAAAACGAAATATTAAAAAATGTCAGTCTGTCGATCAGTCCTCTAGTTGTTCTATTTACTCATTCCAAGGTGTAGATTCCTATGGAGAAGAACGAGCAAGAAACTCCATAGGTTACTCTTTTTCAATCAGGTTCATAATACAATTTTTGGTTACATTATTTTATTGGTCCAATTAATTATTATTATTTGTTTGTCTATACCTGAATATATTCATTTCATCCCTCGTTTAACTTCTTTATGTATAATACTAAAGCTCCAGTTTACAGCTTCCCAAACAAGATACAGTGAAGAAAACAAGTTTTGAAGAGAAAAGTCAAATCGCCGTCTACCGGGTGAGGTAGTAGGTTGTATAGTACTGCATTACAACTTTTAGGAGAGACTGTACGGCCTACTAACTTTCCTGGTTTTCGGTATATGCAACGTTGGTGAATTGCTGAAAATATGCTGCATCCTGGATCTATTAAATAGGTACATAAGTTTAAGTAACGATGTATTTCTATGTATTGTTCTGTTGATCCATGTTTACCTAGAATTGTTATAATACTCATTGTCAAGTTTTTTAAATTACAAATAATTGTCTTGTGTATAAGTATGGGATTGACATTCGATAAATAATTAATTAGTGTCAGAACTTAATATCAAGCCCATACTTACAATAGTTTTTCACTTGTTCGACTAGCGTAAATGTCATTTTTGTAGGACAATCTGTCCTACAAGAATGACATTTTACATATAACCGATTGGAAATATGTAGGTGTTAAGCAAAAATTACAATAATATAAGCTACGTAACACTATCGGTATTTATTATTGCGTTAAGCTTATTGTGTTAAGGCAGATTTTTTAAAAAACACTTAATTCTTAACTGTAGAATAACATTGACATTTGACAGTTGTTAGTAGGTACCTACGGAAGAATAGTCAAATGTTCAAAAATGTAACTCTTTTGAAATTCAACTGCGCATTGAAAAATCGGTCTTTAGAATCTATATTTTTAAGAAAAATAATTAACGATAACCTCTTTTAAAAGTCGAAATAAACTTTACTTTATCGTCTATATTCCGTTGTTTTATTCTTTACCCTTTATATTTATTTATTTTTTTCACTTAATTTGAAACGAACCTCTATATGGCGTCTTAATCCAAAATCTTTAGAATGAATTAGATTTTATATGTTACTTCTGTAAACACTGCCTCGTTGGCTGACTGTTCGCGGGTTCGATTCCCGGGTAGAGAAAAGTATCACTGGGTTTTTTAAAAATTCTCAGTAGTAGCACGGAGTCTGGAATTGTGCCCGGTATGGCAATACGCTCACCCCCTTTTGCATGGGACTCATAACATAAATAGTGAAAAGTGGGTGTTACATTGTACAGTGGCATTAAGTGCCGTAATGTATGTACACCTCTGCCTACCCCTTCGGGGATAAAAGGAGTGTTGGTATCTGTTCTATAGAGTTTCTATCAAAAATCAAGATCGGTTATATAATTGACGATACTTAGATGATACTTAATTTCATTAGGTATATTGTAGAGTAAAGGTTCGATATCCGTACCAGAAATATTTAATCATTCAGTGTTCAGGTGGAGAGATTCACAATATTTAACACACAATAACAGAGTAAAGCCGGTATACTGGCAGACAGATCACTTGATGGTAAGCAATCGGCGTCGCCCATAGACCCCCGAAACACCAGAGGCGTTACAAGAGCGTTATCGGTCTAATCTAATCCCCAAAAGGATTAGGAGCTGAGGATTGGTGGGGATTCAGAGATTGGAGCGATTAGGGAAGGGGGAGCGGGTAATTGGGCCTCCGGTAACCTCACTCACTCACATGACGAAACACGACGAAAGCTTTGCATCACGTCAGTTTTCTGCTCGTCGGTGGTATCACTCCGGTCGAGTCGGCCCATTCGTGCCGAAGCATGGCTCTCCCACAGTTAAAAATATACACTCAACAGTGCACATCTACACCATGAAATCTTCGTTTTCGTCCCGAGGCGAATCAACTCGCCATAAGGAGTACCTACTTTCGATGTATAAAGTAAAAACAAAAGAATAAAGATGGCATTTTTTATTTAAAAATAACATTCACCGCCTTTTGCATATGAGACATTTGTAGTCACTATTCGCATCGCACGTGCATCAACGAGAAATACCTCTTCGAGAATTAGGTACACGGCGTGGTCTTTTGATAATGTACTTACTATGAGTTCGTATGCGCTTTCGAAGTTTGCTTTTTGCAATGGTTCACCAGTTCTTTTTTGTTTCAAACATATGAAATAATATTATTTCTTTGTAAAACTATTGTTTTACCAAGACAGAACCTTTTTATTCCAGGACGAAAACGAAATAGATTTCACGGTGTACCTACATGTAAAAACTGTTTAACTTCAAAATGAAAGAAAGAATAGTAGAAAAACCATTAAATTGATGCCGGACATACAAATGGGCCGGCTCGACCGCAGTGATACCACGGCTGAGCAAAAAACCGACGTGAAGCAACGCTTGCGTTGTGTATCGTCGCGTGAGTGAGGTTACCGGAATTGTAATTCCGAATAATAAAATTAAAATTCTCCGCAACCACCCCCATTCCTGAATCCCTAACAATACTCAAATTCCTTATCCCCAAAAGGCCGGTAACGCACGTGTAAACGTTCCGCGCGTGCCTCAAAGAGCCATCAGACCACCACGGATGGGGCCCAATAGGGCTGATGCCGATACGGAGCCGCGGAGAACGTAAAAGGTTACTAGAGCTCCAGCTCGAGTACCTACTTAATAACAACAGTCACATCAAAACAGAACAGGTCCCTCAGAACCTCAGGACCTCTTTAATTGGAACAAATTGACAATTGACTAACAATTCTGTATTGAACCATTTTAAATTAAAAGTATTGACTTATTGCACCCTGCATTTGTTGCGAATCAGTGCAATGTGACGAACGGAATGGCGGACACTGGACGCAAAATAATAAGCTTTATTGAGCACAATTAAAAAGGTACCAACTACTAATTTTGGTCCTATATTGAACACGACAGGGTCGTAGCTAGCGTCGTATCTGTCGTATCAATTATTTCGTACAAATACGGGGCCCTGGGTCACGAGTCACGAGGGCTCCCAACATGCGTAAGCAAAAATTAATAAAAACTTCACTGTTTTTGTTTTTTTTTTCAGAAATTACAAAATTCAAAGCAAGCAAATTTTCACACGTAGGTAAAGCAAGTTAAATAATATGCAGAACTTTAAAATAACTAAAGGTCTATTAAAGGTCATCATAGTATGATAATTTAGGCAGAAATACGGGATTTGCCTGCAAACATTTCCGGCAGTGTTGAAAATTTTCAATTTTGTAGACTTTGTCAAAATTCCTCCTGGAAAAATGGCGGCTAAGTATAGTATTTATATTTTTTGAATTTTATAGTTCAATAGTTTACTATAAACTAAATAACGACAACATCAATGTTTAAGGGACTGCCTAACTAAAAAATTGTTTGCGCCCCCAAACATTTTTTATCCGGGGCCCGCCAAGGCACACTACGCCACTGATTGACGACCGTGCTGGAAGTCATTGGGGAGGACTGTGGGGGGCAGTAGACAGTACGTGGCTGATATATTATGTCCATGATGGTGACTGTCGTATTAATTGTTGGTCAAGGCTATCTATCTGCGTAGTTGTAGGGAAATTAATTAAAGTACCTACTTAGCCATATTGTTTTATACCTTTATTTCATGGGCCGACGTTTGCCCTCTATCTCGCCTGGTGGTGCACGATGATGCGGTCTACGATGGAGCACGTCGACCCATAAGCAACCTATTCACTCGGGTCTTGGAGACACTCAGGTTAACCCACCCTTCAGGGAACATAGACTCTGGTAAAGAATTCCACTCCTTAGCACGCACAAGGAAGCTTGATGCGAAGCGCTTCGTGCGTGTGGGTGAGACATCTACCATGAATCGGTGCCGTTTCGCCGATTGTCTTGTGATATGATGATGGAAAAGATTATGGGATTCAAGTTATGCAATTATTATCACTCGTCAGATTAAATAATAAATCTTTCTTTAGGAAAAACCATTGTATACGTTTTGTAACGTACCTACAGGAGAGAAAGATAAAGGCATTGTAAATATTTACTTTCGTTTACCACCAGGCCAGTTGGTGGCCAAACGCCAACTAATAACAATAATAAAAAAAACATCATAATTATAGAAAATGAAAAATATCCATGTGTATCTACTGATTTACAAGAAACTGCTTTACAAGTTCAACAAAAAGCATAGTAAACGTGCAGTGACATCTAGTGTCGAATAGGTGTAGTTGTTCGTATACCACCATCTACCGATAAGTAGCAGTATAATCTTGAACCTTTAAGTCGGTGTGAACTGTTTGGAGCGTAGTTAAAAGATTAAAAATTAATTAAAATATTGCTAATAACAGGTTCTAATATAATTTTATTAATGTAATTTCATCAAAATATTTTAATTTGAAATAAAATATTTTCAAGATTAAAACAATCAGCTGGTGTTGAGTCATGCATAAAAACTTTTTAACGGTTTTTAAATTTTACAGTGGCAGCACTGATGCTCGCCATCACAGGTTTATAATCCTTTTCATAAAAGTAAAATGTGCTTTATTGCTAACAGAAAAGGATTAAAGTTGCATGATAAACAAAGTTAATAAGACATTTTATCGTTTGAGTAGGAAGTGGCATAAAAATAGGATTGCCAACAATCTGCGTGACGTCACGCTATTGGAGTCATGGAGCCTTCTAAAATTACATAGAGGAGCGCAAGAAAATATATTTTTTCGACGTATGCGCTCCGTTTTAATATAATTTAATATACAAAACTCTCGATAAAAGTGTTCGACGCGTGTGCTAATTGAAATAATCGTTTTAATCGCAACATTCGAAGTTAAAACTGTGTGATTCTGTTACTAAGTTACCGGAGATTTTTTTCATAATTTTGTGAGTATCTAATGTATTTTCCACACGAAAACTGGTTATTAACGATCGATATTTATGTTTTGCCGTACCATACACGTGATGTAACGTGAATAATTTGTTTAATTTGTGTTTTTATGAACATAGGCTGTGTCATGATATGTCGCTAAAAATAATCCTGGAATGTATTTTTGGAATTATATTTGATGATTTTGCGACTGCGAAGCTGTAAAGACGTGTGAAAGTTGTAATTACGCTTCAAATTCTAGTTTTTATTAAGTGTCCTTGACGTAAAAAAACAATATTTCGATCCATAGTATCAAGTTACGTGTTTTTAACGCAAAGGTATGATGCTATTCATCCTTATTCTGCCTGGTTTGTTGTGTGGATTCTTTTGTGCGCGGAATGTCCGTGAAGGTTTTAATTGGATCAATTCTTAGTGCATGACCTTGAATCGAGTAGAATACGCATCGCGGTAACCGTGTTTTACTTACCAACGAACACGGCAATATTTTTTTACGTGAAGTTACCAGTTGTGAAAATTCTCCTCCTAAAGGAATCCGTGAAGGATTTGTTTACAAAAAAGGTTTGTGCATAAAAACCGTGGCATATTGCAATGTTGTGTTTGCCTTTCACTTTTGTGTAATCTATAATCATCTGTTCAATGCAAAAAATGGCGCAATCTGTTTTTCAGACTGAATGTCAACTTGGAATTTCTGAGTAATTTTCCCTATCAATATAGAATCAACACAAAAACCGTAAAAAGTCTTATTTGATAATATCAAACATGATTTTCTACTTTACCCATAATCCAGTGTAAAATTACAACTGGTCACCCAGCTAATGTTATTGTAGAATTTTGTTATCAGATCAGTTCTTTGTAGGCATTCCTTTGTATTTAAACAACAGTAAACCTTATTTTCTAGGTCATTGGAGTCTTACTACCTAATGAGTTTGTAAACAGTTGCATAGCATAGATAATCACCAACACATTTTGTATTGATGAAAAATTAGCAAAAAGGTTTTACCGATGCATGGTTGTCTATGTCATAATTTAGTTATATTTTGGAGAAAATCAGATATGATTATGATGGAATTTGTATTCATGGCAACTTAAAGCATTTGATAAAATTTATAGCTACTTCTGAACTGTTTCAACTACTCTGCTCTGCTCGTAGGTTGTAGCATGATGACAACAGCTGATGTCTGACATTGTAGGACATTCACCCCAGTATATAATGTACTTACATATTACATTCTAGCGTCATCTGACCTCTTGATATTGACAGAAGAGCTGAGCTGAGTTTAGAATCATTAATAATAATAAAGGTTTTTATTCGGACAACAAATAATCCACTTTTGTTAGTACCTTACATGCTAAACTTAAACACTAGGATTAGTAATAATTACAATTATATTTGGCAACTTTAAAATCAGTGCGTCATGTACTTACGAGGCTCCTCAGAAGGACAATGATTCCTCATGAGATGCCTCAGTACAGGAGCTCTCGGGTCCTCGGCAATGACTTTCAGGATGCTGTTGTCACTCCCCCGGATCCTTCTCACAAGCGATGCCACCTTTTTTCTGATGATCGCATGAAAACTATCTGTATGCGATTGAGCAAACATCCCCGAGGCACTACAGAAACGCGGGAGTTTCAACATCATCCTGAAAACATTATTGTATTGGACGCGCAAGGCGCCTAGCGTTCCACGCGAACAGCTGAACCACAGACTTCCCGCATACAGGCCTTGGCAGTACGCTTTAAACAAAGTTATTTTTACCTGATCGGTACAACGAAAAAATCTGCGCGACAACATGTTCCCGCGAACCGCCAGCGCCCTGCGCTCCCTCTCCACGTCCTCATCGTCCTTAAGGTCGTCGACAAGTATATGTCCCAAATATTTGAACTTCGTTACCTGCTTTATACTAGAGCCATTCAAAGTTATTGAAGGAAAGGAGTCAGGGCACTTGCCGGCAGCCCCAAAGACCATGAATTGTGTTTTCCTTACGTTATATATAAGACCATGTGATGCGGCGTATTCCTCGCAAACTTTGAGCATCCCCCTAATTGACCTCGCAGTCGGGCCCAGCAGCACCATATCGTCCGCATAGCTGATGTTGTTCACACAGACACCCCCCACCCGGCATCCGACACGCATGCCACTGAGCCCGACTATGAGGTCATTTATGTACAAGTTAAACAGCTTTGGAGAAGACAATCCCCCCTGTCTCACTCCGCACTCCAACCTGTACGACTTTGAAAGACAGTTTGACCACCTGACACAGTTAGTCTGATTCGAGTACCAGTATTGAAACAGTTTCAATAGTTCCGCAGGTATACCCCCATCCCCCAGCTTCCCCCAAAGCACTTCATATGAAACGAGATCGAAGGCCTTGGAGAGATCCAAGAAACAGGCATACACCGGGGTCTTCCGTTCAGTATAGTACTGGACAGTGTGCTTAAGTGCCAGGATCGCGCTTTCAGTTGACAGTCCAGGCCTAAACCCGAACATTAAATACTTATAGGTAAACTTAGTCATAGTATATGTTTGTATATACACCCATGATGCAGGAGAAAATCCTAGTGTACAGCAACATTTTCTTATAAAGCCTGGGCATGAAGCTGTCTTCAATTCGTGAGTGAATAGGTTGCTTATGTAGGTATCCTCCATCGTAGCCCACGGCATCACTTAACATCAGGCGAGATACAAGTCAAATGCCAACCCATAGTCAATAAAAAAAGAATCGATCCTTAAACCTAAGTCCTATGAAATGTTCATTGGTTTTGGCTCTTAAACTGTCAAACACCGCGAGGACACTAGTGACCGCAACCTATTGTTCTTTAATTGTGTGTATAATGACGGTACTCAACGAGTTAATGGCTAGTCTCTAGAGATTTGCTTACTAGGGATAGAAGAATTATTCATATATTCCCGACTACATAGGCAGCACTTTGGCAAAAATTTAATATCAAAGTTCTATCAGTAGAAAATTAGTAAGATATAAAACTTAGAGTCACTGTATGCAGGTAGCTTCCAACCTCGCAATATATAGTCATTGGGGGAGGACTGTGGGAGGCAGTGGATAGTATGTAGCTGATATGTGCATGACGATTATACAGCTTATTACTTATCATGTGAAACAAGATTACAAAACTTAAAAGATTACAAGACTGCCTCGTTGGCCGAGTGGTCGCAAGTGCGATTGCCGGGCATGGGGCCTCATGTTTAATTCCCGGGTCGGGCCAAGTATTAGGTACTGGGTTTTTAAAAATTCTCAGCACAGAGTCTGGAACTGTGCCCGGTATATGGCAATAGGCTCACCCCCTATTACATGGGATTCATAACATAATTAGTGAAAAGTGGGGTTTACATTGTATGGTGGCATAATGTACACCTCTGCCTACCCGTTCGGGGATAAAAGGCGTGATGTTATGTGAGATTACCAAAGTGCTTAAATATTTATAGTGCTTTTGTTATCATTTTGTTTGTAAATTAGCTACAGATAAGGAATAATGAGTTGTCATGGTAACCAATATAAACAAAAGTATTGGTGATAGTATTTTGTTTATTGGTATTTATCTCTTGTTGGGTTTTGAGTGATGTCTGGTTGGATAATTGTTTGTGAGGTTCATAGTGTTGATGTTTGGTTTTAGTAAAAGATTTTTGAAATTTTGGTTGCAGGATATTGAAAGAAGTGTCAAAAATTGTGTATATGATCACTCTTGTGATTACATAACATAACATCACGCTTTTTATCCCCGAAGGGGTAGGCAGAGGTGCTGATTATACCACTCTATAATGTAACACCCACTTTTCACTATTTATGTTATGAGTCCCATGTAATAGGGGTTGAGTGTATTGTCATATACCGGACACAATTCGAGACTCCATGCTACTACTGTGAATGTTTTGAAAACCCCAGTAATACTTTGCCCGACCAGGGAATCAAACCCGAAACCCCTTGCCTGGCATTAGCACTTGCGACCACTCGGCCAACGAGGCAGTCAGACATTTTTAAATATGAATTGTAATTATTATAAAGTTGAATTGGTCCCTAAGGGCAAAACATGTATTGGACACTGATTTAACATCTTGCATGCTTTTGTATGAATGAGACCAGTTTATGCAAGTAAATTAGCTGTGCTGTCAGGGTCCGTAATAATCTGTTTAACCCGTTGAAAATTGTTGGAAATCATCCCCTAAATTTGTTCATACAAAAGTATTCTGTAATTATTAAAAATAAGGTCTATAATGTAGTTAGAGAATGGTGTAAGTTTAAACCTTGTAAAATGCAATTAAGGATTGGATCGGATAGGTAACTCAATGTGATACAGGAATATGTAGTATAAGAGCCAGGGCTTCTGTGTGTTAATTCTTTAAAGCGCTAATAAATGTATTAATTATTATTATTATTTATTTTTGTTAATGCATAATGTTCTTTTTAGACTTTTACATCAACTGGCGCTTTGGTAGTTACTTCAAAATCTGAGTCTTAGTTCATATATATTATAAAGAATGGCCGGAACTGGGAAGTATAATAGGTATATTGACATTACACCCACTTTTTGCAATCAGTCCATATTTATTATGTTATCAGTCCCATGTTATAGGGGGCGAGTGTTTCATACCGAGCACAAATACAGATTGTCCTAATTTATGCTACGCAAGCCTGTCGCGGAGAACCTAACGGGTAACCGGGGCTCAGGCTCGACGTGCAGGAGAAGGAACGGAGTGGTTTTTAGTCAGTAAGAGTCTGACACTCCACTCTGCCTCACCCAGGCGGGAGCTATCATTCGATGATTTTCCCCCCTTAAAAAAAAATGCTACGCAAGCCAAGGAAGGAGTCTGGAATTGTGCCCGGTATATGACAATAGGCTCATCCCCTATTACATGAGACTCTTAATATAAATAGTGAAAAGTGGGTGTTACATTGTTCAGTGGCATTAAGTGCCGTAATGTGCACCTGTTACCTACATCTTCGGGGATTAAAGGCGTGATGATTATTACTTTTGTAACACCTATGAGATAAAGTAGCCTCTAATTCCCATAGTCTACACATAATTTATTTATTTAGTCTTTAATGTACACGATTTGATTACACAATGGCACATAAGGCGAACTGAATGCCATATTGCATTCTCTACCAGTCAACCTTAGGGTAGTCATAATACCATAATCTTGTCTCTCCATCTTTTTCCTTGATAAAAATACTCAAAGGATTCTATTTAAACAAGAATAGGTATTTAAGTATGGTGAAAGATCCAATACTGGCATTAATGGTGTAATTCTTGGCAAACCTTCGCTATTGTAGTCTGGCTATTGAGAGCTAGACATAAAACTATTGAATATGACCTGGTTCTTTGGAGTATTTTTTTTAATCCTATTATGATACTGCAGAATCTTTTAGCTCTTACAGTTTGTGTTAAAATATCAAGGAAAATTTCGAAAAGAAAAATATTACACAATTCGTCTGCACAGTATTAAGACAAGCCTGTCGATGATGCATTTGTTACTCCTCGGGAGTCGTGTCCATAGCCGGTGTTGATGACTGATCAGTGATCTATCTACATACTTGTTCTTTTTTTGGGACAAGCCCGCCACAACTTCCCAAAACCGCTGCAACTCCTGTAAGCCAGGATCTACAGTAGATACAACCATGCAAACACCGGAACACTGAAGTCCGGCGCGTCCCAGGGACATGAATAACTTAGTCTTAGTTCAAGACAGTTATTCATGGCCCTGGTTCTACATACTTGTTTGCCTTTTAAAAAGATACCCAAAACTATTTATAAGAGCTTCTCGAAATTCCTAATAAAAAATATTTGTTGCAGGAAAGTCCAAAAACGCAACTAACCAAAGTGTATTAGAAGAAATCATGCAAAGAAAACGTCCGCCGTCCAGAATTAAAGTTAGACTAGAATAGACTAAGACATACTTACAATAAGGATATGTGTTAAACACAGTAAGAAATAACTTGGAATCCGCCAAAATGCCCGTCGTTTCACCGTCTCGATACAGCACCACGTCATCGAGCCTCTCCGGCTCGTACAGGTCCACTTTGACCTCATCGACAGTTGACAAACCCTACTACAGGTCTACAAGCGAAAACTATGGCACCATTCGAAGTTTCGAAAAGTCAGAATATAGATCACGGTTCTCTGACCTTGATGGGAATCGTGAGAGAAAGACTATTGTGGAGCGCTCAAGGACTTCCAGAGCGCCGAGCATCGCTGACTCTGACAGCGGTATCTCTAGCAGGTATCGCTCAGAGAGAAGTGAATCCCGCTCAAGAGATATCTCAACAACTAGGAGTGAAAGTAGCAAAACATCAAGTGATACTCTTGGGCGGAGACGTCCTGTGATCCCATCAGCGGATTTGGCGATGTCACACGCAGATTGGTATAATAAATATTCACCAGCCAACTACATACCTTTGACGCAGAGGATTCAGCAACAGCAGCAGCTTAACCAGAACTTTGGGGAAATTTCAAGGTCGAAGTCTATATCCAATGATATCGGTCGGCCTCCAGTTTCTGACCCAACGCGATTGGCCAGAAAAGCACGGAACTCGGCAGCTACGATATCCGAGGTAATTATGATCTGTCACTTCCATCCTCTCTATATCAATGTACTATATTTCTTTTTTTTATTTTATTTTTTATTTTGAGTGTCTGCGAAATTTTTTCTCTGTAGGATTTTTCACATGTCTTTTTTTATTTTTACTCTTTTTTGTGGACGAATTCTAATGCTCATTGTCGTGATGATCACAATCGAAACGAAATTTTTAATACGAAGAAATAATATCAAATCGCCAATTCGCCATTTAAAATACGGTCATAAAAAATAAACAAAACATTGTCTATTGATGCACAGAAATATTAAAATTATTAGTCATATGCCATTAGTATGTACCAAAGAACAAAAAGATGACGTAAAAATCTAGGATCGATGATAAATGTATTAGAAATGACCTTGACCCGCGAGGTCAAGGACGCTCGGTTAATATAGAAATCAATACCAAATCTATTGATACCGTACAAGTTTGGAAATTCGAAATTCTTGTTTAAATAAGTATTAACGGTGCATATGACATTACGTAAATAAAAAATCAAACATTAAAAAGTAAATAAAGAACTTTCATTAGAAGTCTGGAAACGACTTTAGGGTGCTTACTCTTGAAACCAATCTCGATGTCAATGCAATTTCAATCCAATAAAATCTCAATAATTATTCAATGTCAAAACTATAGAGGTACAACCCCTATCCTCTATAGTACGAAACTCAATACCATTTTGTTCATTAAATGTCCACGCAATACGGATGCAATGGGCGCTAGTGTTGCAACTCAAGAGTACGAAATTTCACAATACCAATGTCGATCGATCGGAATTGGATTCAAGAGTAAGCCCCCAGATTTAAATTCATGAAATACCTAGATCGAAAATAACACAGAAACCGTTACTTACGCCCTCTTTAAAATAAAAAAAAATAAGTATCGTCATTTATAAATTGGTCTAAAAATACAAAATAAGTATTTAGTATACACGGTAAACGAAACGCTCCCGAAACGCTGACAAAACTAAATACTTTTTAAATTTTTTATAAGTTTTCGTTTTATTTCGCGCGGTTTCACTCGCTCTGCTCGACGCCCATTAATCGTAGTGTGATATTTTATAGCCTGTAGCCTTCCTCGATAAATGGGCTATCCAACACAGAAAGAATTTTTCAAATCGGACCAGTATTTTCGGAGATAAGCGCGATCAAACAAACAAAAAAAAAGAATCTGTTCAGCTTTATAATATTATATAGTAAGTATAGATTAAAGAAACGTTTGACATCTTTTATGAAAATTAATATAGTTTTTTTACCACCTGTCGGCATTTTTCGGCAGCGTCCCGTTTACACCCTGTATAGCGGCCAAACGTCATCGTAATGAATATAAAAAAAAAATAAAAAACAAACAAAATTACTAGTACACGACACACAAGACAAGCATACAAGAACACACTACACACATACAGATTTATTATTAACTATTACAGTTCTGAGAGGAGATTGTGACAACATACATAGACATAGTTTTATACCTTTATATCTACTTCATAAGGCAATAAGTCCCAGCAGTTATCAGCCCATGAGTCCTCTACATAAGAAGGATTCGTCATCATCTCCGGGTTGGAGATCACAGTATAAAAGGTTCAGCAGCTGTAGCCAAATGCCATTTAGCGCTTGTCTACATGTAGAATAGAAAACCAAATTATATGGAACTAGCGACCCACCCGGTTACGCACGGGTACAATATGCATGTATTATACATATAAACCTCCCTTAAGAATCACTCTATCTATTAAAAAAAAAATCGCATCAAAATCCGTTGCGTAGTATTAAAGATCTAAGCATACATAGGGACAGACAGACGGCGGATAGCGACTTTGTTTTATACTATGTAGTGATTGACGTAAATTTTGACACTTGTCAGTGTCATTTGCACCTGGCATGGACAAAATTAGGTGCATAGACATAAAATCAATTTGTAACATGATGGCCAGTGTTATCGTGAAATTAATTAATACTAGTGTTAAACAAGGAAAGTATCAGGAAGTATTGAAAACCCGTAAAATGCGCCATAAAAAAGGCAGCTTAAGTGACTATAAAAACTAAAAAAACTATCCCCATACATTATGATTTCTACTCTCTCTGTAGACAAGCGCTAAAGTGGCGTTTGGCTAAAGGCCCTGATTTATCGGAGTGCGCTGCTGCCCAGTCGCTGTCAAAACTTTCATAGAGTCAAAGCATTTATTTCTATTATTATAATTAAATCTTTAATTAGGCACTTTTGAAACGTCAAAATTTGTCCGTCAGTCTGTCTGTCAGTGAAGCTAGGTGTTGTAGTTTCAAATGTAGAAGAACGAGCAAGAAACTATAGTCACTTAGTCGGGTATACGACACTCACTGGAAGAGTAGAGTTGGTGACGTATGTATTTAACTCCGCCATCTTTATTATAATGTTATTCAAAAAATATATTTACCAAATATTCTACTTCAATGTAAGTTTAATACATATGTATGGAAACTATGTCATTTATCCTTGAAATGTGATAATTTTTACATAACCTCCGAGAAGTATGATTCGTATACAATTTATTTTTATTGTATTTTCTTTCATTGTGACGATCAGACGAAAATATGTATAAAAGTAATATATCTTTATTTGGAGTCATCCTGTGTCCGACCGTGGTAAGATGTTTCAGCATTATTTTTAAATAAAATCTTGTCATCTCGCTCTAACTTAAAACTTAACGGTAAAGGTGTAAAGGAGATAGCTGTATGTTGTCACACTCTCACTCTATAAATGATTTTGTTTGTGGTGTTATGTCACTGTCAAAATTGACAGCATGCATAAAGGTTTTATATCATTTTTAGCCTTCTTAGTAACCTATTGGTTTCTTGTTTTCGTTTTTTATTGTTTTTCTAGGTAAGGATAGTGATTAATAATATAAATTAGCATCATTAGAATTTTTACGGTTCATTGAAAATCATTCATTATTGTAATTTGTGTTTTTCGTTACGAAATGAATAAAATAATTTAGTTTTTGAGTTTTGTCTGTCATTCAAAAGTCCATGAATATCTTTCACGACTGAACATCACATGTCATGCATCATCATACTTCGGCAAAGTTCGTTTCGACAAACTATCCCGAAGGTCATCACATCAGCTGAGTTTTATTTTCCAATAACCACAAACAACTGGCCATATTTTAATTTGTCGAAAATTTCGCAGGCACACAGATAAAGTGTGCGCGTGTGAGTGTGTGTGTACGTTCGTTAACATCGCACTTAATAAAGAGCCAAAACATTAAATTGACAGCTTTCAAAATATAGTAGACCATGCACCGGTTGAAAGGTAGTAAACGCCAGTCAATGTACAAGCAATTCTGTACCTTTCAACAGGTGTCACAGTAGTAACATAGATGCGAATTTGCTAGTAATACCATATACACGTGTAACATTCATGCTACATCCAGCTATTTTGTACAGTTCTTTAGTAAACTCATATCTGACTCAAAGTACCATGAATGGTGCATCAGGTATTACAGCAAAGCATGATCTAAATGTTGGACTAACACACACTGATCACATGTCGCATAGTTTACGTCACGAGAACAAAAAATAAGCGTAATATTTGAACACCAGAGACCGGAACGAAGATCGTATAAGGAAAGCTCACCAGTTTACAAGAGGGGAATGGTAAACGGTGTTAAGGACACCAACGGAAACGAAGTGCCCTCCGTGTCGGAGATCAGAAAGAGATTCGACCCGAAAATGACCGTAACGAAACTACCCGCGAACGACTCGCGGTACACCGAACAATATCTAAACCAGCTCAAGGACTGCGAAAACGGGACCGTAGGCTACACAAAAATCGTCCCGAAAGACGAAAAGCCGGTACCAGTACATCTGCCTTACGAAAAGAATGGTTTGCGCTGGGAAATAGGTTCCTCCAGCTCCCGATCCAACTCCAACTCAGACCTATCACTCAGTAAGACTATATCCGAGCCAGTATGCCTAGCCAAACCAATACACGATAGAAATAGTTCCATGTCCACCTCTCTCACCTCAAAACTGCCTTCCGACCGTCTAGCCAGCATTAAAAGCCAGCTAGACCCAAACAATCCAATAGGAAAGATTCTAGAAAAGTCCACAGTCATCCACGTAGAAAATGGCGATTTGGATTATAAGAAAAATAATTCAGACGGAAGTAAAATTAAAGATATAAAGAATGATATAGAGAAACAAACGAAAACTCCTAAACATACGTCTAACTTCGCTTCCTACATTCAGATCTCGCAGCCTGTTTCATCAGGGACGACGCCGAAAAAACAGATAGACTTAAATCATACGGTTAATGAGGAGTCACCTAAGAACGATGTGAAAGCAGAGCCAAGGAAACGAGCTAGTTTAAAGTACATAGACTCAGAAGATGATAGAATACTTCTCGACAATGATATAGAATCTCCTAGCGGTACCGGTTTTGAGAACAAAACGTTTGAACATGAGAATTATTTGAAGAAGAGAACGGAAAAGAGTGAAGAAGGGAAGGAGAACTTGGAGGAGATTAAATCAATGGAGACGAGTACTGAGAGTACTATAAGTGAACCGACTGATGATACTAACATGAGCCCTGATACTCCATCTTCCAGAAGAAGAGTGTTGGAGTCGAAGGATTACGACGATATTAAAGCGGTAAGTATTCATTATTTTTATCCACATTTCTTTGCTGCTTCGATGGTGGTTATTTTGGAAAAGACATTTGTTAAACTATCCTCATTTCCTAAACATATTTACTATGCCGTTTCTAGGCAGTTGGGGCGTCCATAATCGAAGCACCTAAGAAATGCAGCACCTCATTTATATTGGCTCTTTCTTGCACGTGTTTTTATTTTGTGTTTTTGATTTGATTTTACAAAAATGTAGTGTGTGTTAGTTATAGATTTATTGTGTCCTTTTCAGCAAACACTTTTTTGGATTTAGTATTTTTCTGCAAGATTTTGTTGGAGAAGTTTCAAGCGTTGTCTATTTGTGGTTTTGGTGTATTTTCTTCGGTTTGTAAGGATTCAGTGTCTTTAGGGTCCAGAGAGTGCAGAAAAAGATATTTTGCCCGCGAGATTTTGACTATAACAGATGGCAGCACCGTCGCTTTTAGGGTGCTTCTGCAGTTCTGCACTACGGCTGTTGGGCTAGTAGAGCTGGTGGTATATTTGTCATCGCGATAACTGCAACTTGTTGATTGTCCGTCAGGAGATACGTCTGCTCGTCTACTTTATCCGATAAAAAAATAAATAATTCCTTACCCACTGTAGATGATTGTAAACTACTATTGTTTGATGTGTATTCGCTCTGGTTTGGTTAGAGGCCCCAATAATTAATTTAGGCCGCCAGTAATTAGTCTAGTTAAACAATCGTGGCTTTCGTTTAGGGCCAACAATAAGACGCCATTGTGAACTAAAAGTACGTAAACCATTGTTCAGCATAAGCAAAACTAAAGATATCCCTTATATTGAACTATCTGTCATCTATAACAACACCACCTACGTGAAACTTAGATATATCGTAATATTTTACTCATTAAGGGCCCTGTCCTGACTCTATAGGAACGTAACGATAATAACTTTAGATTGTAGCAAAATTTATAACACTGCTTCTAATTTCGTTTTAATTGGAACACTAGTCTTCTTATAAACCTTGTTATTGAACAGGCCCCTATAACAAACAAATCAAAAATTCCTCTTACAATATGAGTCTAAAGAGATGTAAAAACTGTATTAACACATGATTCGAGTTATTTCCGTGCTAAAATTAGGTCACGCCCACTAATGTCCACACATAGCCTACTTAAAACCGCAGCAAAATATTACATTCCTACATAACATATCTACTAATTTAAAAAACCTACAAACGGTTACTAGATTTTGGAAAGATAGGATAGGAATAGAGAGTGTAGGATTCTTACGTCACTGAACCCACTCTGGTGGCCACTATCAACGCCTATAAGAGACAACAAGGAACATATAGAGCAAATAAGGACCCTATCATCATCGCCATCAACAGATCTTGAACTTGAGCTATCAACATCTCTTCTAGACTGCGCCTCCTCTGCAAAAGATGTGCCATAAACTCCACGCTTAGCAAGCGCTTAGATCGCATTTTCAAAGGATCGGATTTATGAGATCCCGCTGCTGGAGTACCTCCACCTACATAACTGCTTACCCCCCAAAAATATTTGCAAGTACGAGGAAGTCATAAACAGTCAGGAGATAATTGGGTCCGTTTTAACACAAACATGCGTATGCGCACGTAGGCGTCACGCACACGAATACACGGCCTCATTTGAAATGTCAATGAACTGACTAGATCAGACACCTGTGGAGATTTGAACTTTTCTAGCCGTGTGTAAAACTATTTGGGGATTTATAGGTCAGATTCCAATTTTGGTGAATCATTCTTCTATTTTTGGTGATGTTTTTCTTGTTTGGGAATCATATTTTCGACTAATACCCATTTTGGTTAGATGAGTGAAAGAGGTGTAAGGGAATCATAGCATTTGGTGTTCCATAGTCTCTGCCTACCCCCGTGGGAGACATGCGTGAGGTTACGTATGTAAATGTAGTTCTAGTTTTTCCTACCACTATGTAAGTGGTCATTTTTTATTAATGTTTGTAATAAATAACTTTGATTGAAACCAAAATAATATGGCGTATTTAAATCTGATAATGAAATCCTACTTACTTGTTTTTAGAAAGTGCTAGGGTTTTTACAAAATTCGCAACGCACGACTGATACCTCTGGTGTTGCAGACGTATTTATAACTAAGCCTACAGCAACTACTTTCCATCAAGTTGATAGCAATTGCAAAATAAGTAAAAGTTTTGATTTGTTCTGGAAAAGACTGGCAACGCACCTGTGACTCCTCTGGTGTTGCGGGGAAGTCCATGGGTGGCACTGATCGCTTACCGGTGATCCGTCTGCTCGTTTGCCTCTTATTGCATAGAAAAAACAGAAAAGAACTGAGAATTCCATTCTCTGTAAGTTCAGTAAAGTGTCGATCAAAAGCTAAAAAGTTCTTGTAATCCATGCGGATCAGAGATACGTCGTACGTCATTCAAATTACAACAATTTTCGAAAATTCAACAAGTCGTGTTGGCCGCTGCAATTACTGTATTCACAAATCTACATTCCTTGAGCCAAATCATTGAACTTCAATGTTCTATATATATCTAGTAATCTAGTCGATGTGCTAGAATGTCACCTTAGTCTAGCTCAGACTAGAAATGTCAGTTTAGCACGACTCTAAAACTGAACTCCGGAAAATATGCCTGACATTTGACATGAAGATTAAGGGATGTCATATTCTCAGTGGTTTGATAGTCAATAAGGATAGTAGAGGGACTGACTGTCCAAGATGAGATGAACTAAAGCTGCTTGAATAGTATCTAGAAGAATCAAGAAGGTTCTATTTCAACTTACAATGAATGTATCATGTCCATGGGCAGCGCTGATTGCTTACCATCAGCTGTTCTTCTTGCTCGTTTGCCCTATCACATAAAAATCGTTCTTAATTTGCGTCATTGCAAACGAAAAGTGCATTTCATCATCTCTCTGACTCAAGAATAGTCATCGCTTAACCATCCACGAACATTTCAACCTAAGTGCTTGATGCCAGAAAACATTTCGCATCAATATACTCATGCGACAATATGTAGTGAACGACCCGACGTCCCCTTTCCGATACAAATTCATAGCTAAAAATAATCTGCGCGAAATGTAACGTCTAGAAATAAAATAACGCGGGAAATAGTCTCAGCAGACGACTGCCACGCTTTTTAAAACGCCACGTGTCGCAGCGGCCGCCATCTTAGAAAAAGCGCGCTAAAATTTTCCCGTTTGCAAACTTAACCTCTTAGGTGTTAAAACTTTACCGCGTCTATGGTCCCGGGGCTGGCCGCTTACATTTTTTGACAGAGCGTTCCAAAACCTAAAAGTCTGTCAAGTTTAGCATATGTCATTTGCGATTTTCGATACAACATTTTTTGCAATCATTTTTTTCTACTTCTGTGATATTTTTTAAATGTTAAATGTGATATCTTCGTTTTATCCGGTAAGAGGAGCTGGTTGTTTGTTTTGGTTGATTGTTGCACGCGGATTTGCACGGAAAAATGGCGGTTTTATTTAGTTGTAAGGTCTAATTTGGTTTGCGGTGTGTTTTATTTGTAATTCGGGGTTGTGGAGCGGTTATTCGTGTTGCCCTAGTTCGCGATGTCTCCTGTGTTCTGTGGTGTGCTGGTAGACTTCCACGCAACTCGGGAGACTTAATGATTATGGCATCGTGCCCAAGTTTGATATTCTCGTGGTGTCGCAGTGTAACTCACTTCTTGTGAATTTCTATTGAGATTCAGTTTTATAGTTTGACTGTATCGATAAAACTTGGCTTCGAAACAATGCTTAGAATATGCTGGTTTATGATAAAATTGACGAGTGTATTACAGAATCAAATATTATCTTGTTGCAAGTTGCTAAATATAATATTGATAGATCCTTCCTTATCTATAAGATTTTATGTTACGTTATTCTGTTGTTGATAGGACAGCAATGGATGGTTCATTAATCTCTTAGTTGATTGCGAGGTTGTCACCAAAAAGATTGAATTTAAATTAATCAAAATATTTAATCGCAGTGTTGATAGGAGAAGTCCATTTAGTTCGTTAGTTAAATTATTAAAAAAAGTGATAGACACGTATTTTTCAAAATAAACTGCATCTTCGACGGAATTTCCGAAGTTCCGAACCGATACGGCCTTCAAACAGTCAAGAACAAAGCCTACTTCTTAAAAACCCGGCATTGCACTAGTAACACCTCTTGTGTTGCGTTGGTAAGCAATCGGCGTCGCCCATGAACACTTGGAACACCAGAGGCTTACAAGTGCGTTATCGGCCTTTTGGGATTAGTCATTTGAAGATTGTTGGGGATTCGGGAATTAGGGAGATAATTGGGCCTCCGGTAACCTCACTCACACGACGATACACAACGCAAAGGTGTCTTTAAATATAGGTTTATTTGGACAGTTTTCACCTATTTCCACTTTTAGACAAAAGCCGTTTAAAGCGGTTAACGGAATGCGACGGTGGTACCGTAGCAAAATGAATTAGTTTCACTTCTTAAATTTTATCCAAAAGAAAGTGTTTAGACATGAAATTAATTAGCATAATACTTTCGTTTGACTTTATAAATTTATAATGATTTTGTTTATTCTTCTGTTTTTGGCAGTTTCTGCTGGCGACTTCGCTCGCGTTCCCGTGAGTTCAGAAGTAGCCTGTGTCATTCTATACCATAATCTACCCCCCCTGTTCCAAATTTTATACAGGTCCCTTCAGCCGTTTTGGCATAATTGAGTTACAAACGTACAAACGTTTGCGTTTATAATATTAGTAGAAAATAGGATGCAAATGCTGTACTATAAAAGTATTACGTCATTGCTTTATCTCTCCATAAAATGTAACGGTTGATTCACGCCTTTTAATCTCCGAAGGGTTTTTTTTAAAAGGGGAGAAAATCATCGAATTTCTGCTCCCGCCTAATTAAGGCAGGAGGGAGTGTCAGACTCTTACGGACTAAAAACCACCCCGTTCCTTCTCCTGCACGTCGAGCCGGAGCCCCGGTAACCCGTTCTCCGCGATATCTCCGAAGGG